TAATACAATCATCGACATCTTTATTTCCACTTGTCCATCCTTGTACTATCTTCTGAGGGTCGCATGTTTGACACCAAGCGTAAGATGTGTTATAGTGCTTGCAATTTGCACATTTTCCATTCCGTCTACCTCATTTAGAACTAAATTCATCGACCATAATTTTAAAATGTTAGTGTACGGAGAAACTAATCGTCAGTTTGCGTTATCGTTATATGACGATAATATATGCATATAACCATAATAAGGTATGTAACGCAAATATTTGCAGTTTAAATATAAGGTCATCTTGCAATATCATACTTTATCATTTAGAAGAATCTGTTCACATTTTATAAAACTATATTATTTTATGAGTATGCATCCAATTATTTCGATCACAAAATTGAAAAGAGGTATTTATTCATAAATAGTAATAATCCGAAGTCTCTGGATTATTTATTATTAAATTGGAAAAAATTCGGATGATCGAAAATTTTTACTATGTTGTATAAATTCCTAATACGTACGAATTTTTGATCATCCCGAAGTTTTATACAAATTCGTATAAACTTTGGATTATCAAAAATTCGGATGTCTGTAATATATAATTCTAATACATGGACATCCGAATTTTTGAACTCATTTGAAAGTGATCTTCCAGGTTGGTGTGACAGGATGTACCAATCAGATTCATTCATGCGATAATTGAGATTTTGACGTATATAAACAATATCCCAAAAATCGTTCTTTCCAGAAAACTTTTGGTTTCTTCAGCCTATCAAAATACCCGATGAATAGGTTGGCAATAAGTTGGTAATGAGTTTTTAGTAACATAGGTTGGTGTTAAAACAACATCTGCATATTCTCAATAACTATATTGTTTATGGTTATGTTTACCATTTTTAATGCTTACTTTTATAAGCTTCGTTGTTTGTTTTGTGCTTTTGAAAAGAAGTAAAAAAAAACCAGTACATTTGAAGAGAATAATGAACTATTTCTCTAAAATGTAAAAATGTCAAAAAGAATTTATTATCAATATTTTTAAATCAGATTTAATTTTACTAACCGTTATTCTTTCCATTTTTGAATAATCTCCTTTTTGAGTGTTTCTTGAGTCTTTTGTATAATAACTTTATGATGTTCTTTTATTATATTATTAACAAGTTTCTTAAAATCGTCAAGTTGGACCAGATCATCACATGACTTAAGTTCCAAGAGGAATCCTCAAATGCAAAATTCATTAAATTATAAACTATTACCAGAAATATTAAATTAAGTTAGAATAAATAATTATATAATACATACTTGTAATTAAATTTTTGAACATAAACTTACTATTTTTGCTACTTTTGTCATCTTCTTTGCGATAGGTGACATCTGCCCAAAATTGTAAGACACGGCTATTTTGTGCCTCAAATTCAAATAAGTAAATATAATAGTTAGTCAAACAAATTTATATAAAACTTATTTAAATAGTGCTTTCTATTCATAATTTGCTAGACAATTGTCCAATGAATAACACGCAAAAAATAGTATATAAAATTCAGAGCAAATTAATGGCCTGAGTTTGTCAATATACAGCATGAGAAAAAATCCAAGACAAATTAATGATCTAATTAAAGCATAACCTGTTGAAAGCAATCAATATATTAAAAAAATTCAGAGCAAATTAATGGTCCGATTCAAATATCATTGCAGTGAACAAGTTATAAATCAAATATAAAATTCAGGAAACTTATTGTGATATGCGTGAATTTGATTATTATAAACTTAATTTTGCAAGAATTATATTTTCTCTTACATTTTCTTTAATATTTCTTAATTGCCTTTTATCAACAAAGCTCGCGTACTTTTCATATTTACGTTTTATATTAAATGAGTGTTTACTAAGTGATAATATAATTTGTATTTGTGTAAAAAAAGTTTTATGTGCTAAGTTTTTATGTCATAAACAGATTCTGTTTTTTGAGATGTCTTGAACATAATACAAGAAATCTTCAAGTCTTAGCAGAGAAGATTTAAGAGTATTGATATAAAAAATAAAAAGATTTACAAAAAAATTTTTTATTTAGCATATTTATAATTAATAAAAACAAATGCAAGATGTAGATCAATTTTATGTGATCAAATATTATATGCACAAGTCAAATGAATGAATAAAGAGTGAATAATAGATAAATTACAGAAAAAAAATCTGCTATTATTCTACCTTATATTTGCCAAATAATGGTAGTATAATAACAGCATAACAGCAGAATAACAGTAAAATACAGGAGGTTTGTCAATAAGTATAACATAATAGTAACATAATAGTAACATAATAGTAAAATAATAGAACAATTCTATTATTTTATTTTTAATCTTTGTAACTAAAAGTAAAATAATAGAACTGTTCTATTATTTTGTTATTATGTTACTATTATATTACTTATATTGACAAACCTTCTGTTATTTTACTGTTATTTTGCTATTATGCTGCTATTATGCTGCTATTATTTGGCAGATATAAGGTAGAATAATAGTAGATTTTTTTTCTGTTATTTACCTATTATTCACTCTTTATTTATTCATTCGACCTGTGATAAATATTGCAATTATGCTTTATAACTTATTTCAATCTTACATATTCAATATACAAACTGTTCTAGATACTGCAATATGCATTGATTTTCATCTTTCTGCTAACAACAAACTTTGTACAATCTTATTATACCTACTTTCAAATTATTCTAAACAGTTTAAATCTATACAAAACACAATTATAAATTGGCTAATTTAAGCAAGAAGCAATAATTAGTATACAATTACAATAGAAAATTTTAATAACAACTCTAACTGATGTAAATAATCAGCAAATTTATTCTCTATACTTCAATCTTTATCATCTACAAGCTTACTAGAATTTTATACTATAACCAAACTTATAACAAAAAGACTCAAATTAAAATCAAATTGATAACATATAATTCTAAAATTTTTTTAGATTTTAATCCAACTTTAATTACTGATCCTATTAATATTACAGACAGTAATCATAAAATAATTACTACTACTTAGAGACAAATTTTTAACTAAAAATATCTAGATCTAAAAAAAAAAAATATATATATCTTTATTACCAAATAACAACAAACATATAGAAAAACTTTGCTAACAAACTAGAAACTGTAGTCAAGCTAATATATTTAATTCATAATATAACACTACAATAGTTAAATAATCTTTGAAATGAATAGTCAAATTCAACCAAAAAAGTTGCAAATTAAACTATACCAAAAACTTATACTATATCTAAAAATTACCAAGCCTACTCTTTTAAAGCAATTAAATTATATTTGGCACTTAAACTAATAAACAAATGTTTCTCTATTTTGAAAAACAACAAATCTTTAATTTTAATTTTTTTTATAATACAAAATCTAAATAATTTATTTTAACAAATATTATTATATTTAGAACAAACTATTTCTTTATGCTAAATACAGAACTTAACATCAAACTTTAATAACTTTCAGCAAATTTTAAAACAGCTTAAAAAAATCTTATAGCAAGCTCACAGTCTGAAAATCCAAAATACACAAAGAGAAAAAATAAATTTCTATATACAATAAAGATATAATGACATAGAATTAAACACACCATATATGATAAACAATATACTTAAATATAACTAAGACCAAGTTTCTTTTAACAAGATTATAACATTAAACAAAATAATTAATAATCCAAAAGAATAAAATAAGCAACAAAAGAGCATTTTAATAACTGAACTAAACACAATCCATCAAATTCTAACTTTGAACAAAAATAGACTTAGTTTCTTCAATCTTTACTACATATTAATCCTAATATATATTATAATTTGTTTCAACTAATAACTATTTCTGAATGCTCATAGTTTTTATTCCTCTATTCTAAAAACCTTTTATGTTAAAATTCTTTTAGATGAACTACCTGTTCCTCACACTCTTCACAAATGTAACTTCTCTTATTCTTTTCTCTGTCATCAATGCAATCAAATTAGCTTTTCATTATACTGAACTCTTTGTTCTTCTACTCAAACAATTTATTACTTAATCTCTAATTCTCTTAATTGTATCTTAAATGCTACTGCTTTTGACATTTTCTCTAATCTGGTTTCTAATTTACATCAAGAAATTCTTACACTTAACAGTTTTAAACTGCATATCTTTTCTTATATACCATCTCTTATTTTTACTTTATCTGGCTTAGTTCCTATTGACCTTATTTCCACTATTCACAATACTTCTATTCCTTACCATACTGCTATCTCACTTT